CACCGCGCAGGAGCAAGCGGCGGCATACCAAGCGGGCATGGACCGCACGACCAACCATCTGCAAGACGCGAAGCGCACGGTCGCCGAGATCGACGAGGTCGCGGTCAGCGTCGACGCCAATTTGGCGATCCAGCGCGAGCATCTGGAGCGGGCGCAGGGCAATGTTGACGAGACGCGTGCGGACGTGCAGGACGCCAAGAGCCATCTGCGAAGCCTGGCGCGGAAAGCATTTTCGAATTTGATCCTGCTCTCGATCATCATTCTCGGTCTGGTCGCGGGCATCGTGTACGCCTTGTCTACAAGTTTTATTTGCGCTACCGAAACTAAGAAAACAGAATCAAGGCGCGGCCGATCGATGATCTCGTCAGCTTTTGAGCTGTTCATGAAGGTAGTCAGCGGCGGAACATTGTTTCAATTCCCTCCCAAGTCCATGTATCCATGGGTGGGCGTGCTAGCCGACGTCCAGCTGACGCGAGTAGCGTTGGGAGTAGCAGATAGCTTCTCTCGATCTTTTATGGGGTTCCGAAGCTTTCTCATGTCCCACAACACGCTCAGTCCACCACTAACCGCTCGCTTGTTTAGAGCCTGGGCCACAAATCAAATGAATATATCTTCGCAGCCCAGGAATACCTCTCGTCGCCTCTTGCACTACCCACACTCGAGTAGTACGAACACGTAGTAAAAACATGGTGCCAGCACTATCAGTCGAGTTAAAATGGAGCTAAATGGGAGAGTTAAAATACTAAACAATCCAGCACCCGTGCAGCCGCAATATCAACCTCCTTACTCCTTACTCGGTGCAATACGTTCCTCTCCGGCTCACTCGACAGATTCACACAGCGCACGCAAAACCACAGCTTCTTGGTCTTCATAGAGGATTCACGTGAGACTCTTGGTCGACCTCGGTTCTTACGACCACAAACGGGGCGGTGCTACACAAGACTCGGTAGTCGACGCACCACTTGCATCCTTCGACGGCGCAGAGATCAGCGGAGTAGAGTCAAGACTACTCTTGCGATTCGAGCGGAGCTCATTCTCGCCGTGTGCATAGCTAATGCAAGTAGCTCACCGAGCAATCTTTAGAGAAACCGAGCACGTACGTGCACTTGGCGCCATACGTGCAGCTGCCCCGCGCGTGGTTAGCACACAACTTTGTCTTGATCTTGTTCCACGCAATGCTGTCGTGACGGTACCTACGTCACGTGTCAGATTGGTCGATGACATCTCGCGGGCGCACTCGCAGTCGTCTCCGCGGGTGCACGTGCCGCGGCGGTAAAACGTGCACGCTGGCTTGTACACGGGCGATGATGGCGCTCGCCAATTCATCGACGACGCACAGCGCTCGTTGGCAAGCGTTCGAACGGACGGCGGAGGACCAGGGTTGTAGTGCCACGCAGACTTGACCGGGGAGCCATAGCCGTCCGCGTCCGAGCCAGAGCTACAATTGCGCCATATAAACCGAGCTGACGGGACTGAGCACGAACCTATCTGCCGTGCTTGTGTCGGCGCAGATTTTTGCTTTTGTCGCGGTTGCCGCGTCTGCGACAAACGGTCGCAGCTCCGCAACCGAGTGTGCGTAGCTAATGCGCAAATGTCAATGAGTCGCAAACGGTGCCGACTACGTACACGCAACTCGCACCAAACGAGCACGACCCCTTCTTCATGCGGTAGCACATCTTGGTCTTTAAGTAGCCGTGCTTGGGCTTTGCTGGCGGTCGGTACGGAGGTGGTGCCTCGAGTTGAGACGGCCCCCGCAACGCGCGAGCAATGCGCTGGTACTTGGCCACGTTCTCGGTTGTCGTCGGTGCTTGGGCCAGAAGAGCGGCAAGGTCTTCCATGGCTTGACCTCGCGATACCACCAGGTCGAGCGACGGATGCGTCGACATGAGGAGGGCAACGAGCACCCAATGCAGGCACCACTGCTGTCGGTCGTGATCGTCGTCGCTACGGCGAAGCGTCGGCAACGGTGCTAGAAGGCCGAGCAGCACGAGTAAGCGATCCGACACGGACATACCAGTTATGAAGCTGTGTTGTGGCCTTGCTTTGGACCGAGTCCAACCCATCACGCGTCCGCGACGAGCTGGACGCGAGTATGATGTCGCTAGACGTGCCGATTTTTTTACTCTGGATTGTGATTGGTGGATCGAAAAAGCAACGACCAATCAAGAGGTCGATTACTCGATCGCGCTTGTCTCGAGGCATCGATGGCATGCTCGCGTGTCGATACGACATGTCTTCTTCGACTTCTAGTACCCTGACATCCCCACCTAGTTAGTATACCAGTATGTACTACAGTAGGTATTCCCATTAGTCCATGGCCTAAACAACGCGTTCCATGGCGAGCAGGCACGTTTCTCATCGCTGGCCTGTCAATTCTCGCAACGCGATGCCATTGGCGCATTTCTTGTATCGCCTTTGATTTTAGCCAATCGCCTTGCGTCCGTCGCACACACTCTGTCCCAGCGCGCAGTGACACACGGGTGCAGACAGAAATTGGCGATGACCGAGTCCTTCCGCGAGTACTACGAAGCGTTCAAAGACCTCCGGTCCGAGGCAGCGGCCGTCATCCGCCTCATTCCCGACGCGCCGGCAGACCGCCGCACGGCCCTCGAGCGCGACGCGCGCGACCGCATCGAAGAAGTCGAGCGCTACGTGCGCATCCTTGGCCAAGAAGCGCTTGGCGGCGACGCCCACATGAAGCGCAAGATGCAGACGCAGCTGCATAGCTGCAAGTCGGACCTCGAGAAGCTACACAACAACCTCTCGAAAGCGCTCTTGGTCGGCGCGGCCCACGAGCGGAGCACGGGCACGACGACCGTGACGGTCCAGGACCGACTCGACCGCACCGGCGCCGTCTTGAACGACGCCATCACAACGATCGAAGAGACGCGTGGCGTCGCGATTCGGGTCGGCGA